CACAAAGCAAGGTGAAAGGCATCCATGTTCTCTTAATTGCAAAGGCAAGACACACTTCTCAAATGACCAAGACAAAGAGAGAGATATATATGGATCACTTAGGGCGTAGTGATGGGCCGGCCCAACAAGGAGGCAAAGAGTGGGCCAAACGAGCCATCCATAAAGTGAGGAAACCGGACCATGAGCAACTCCAATTAACTAGATTGCTTCCAATGGCCCAATATAGTTTTAGGGTCGGGTTATCAACCTTAGGTGTTGATATAATAATTATCCAATATCGGTTTTACATCATCGTCCGAATTTATTGGGTATCAAAAAATCAAATACAGACAAAATCAACTACCATACACAAGTCACTGTCCAATCTAGTCCATCCATTTGATAACACCTTGGTCAGGTCGGCCATTTTTTATGGTCTCTAGGAATTCCATTAGTTTTTCTTTTGTTAACGAGGCAGCAAGATTATTTATTTAGTTATTTATTGGCACCGCAACAACAGACCATTTTATCTGTCAGAGGAATATTCTCAATATATGATTCAGCACACCATTTATAAACTAAACTTAAATCACAAGACAGATGGGTTTTCACTTCAAATTGTCTGCCGAAAGTGTCTGAAATACGAGCCATCCACATTAATTATAAGTAGACATAATTAAGTGGGATCCACATTAATGCTGGGGTGCTAGGCCCATTTTGCCCGACCTGGTATAGGTCCTATCACAAACAGGGGCGGGTGGATTTTTTAGGGTTTTTTTTTATGAGGACCCACCTCATGTGAGAGCTAAACTGTGTCAGGTCTTTTACAGGTCTGGTAGAGCAGTATTTTTCCCACATTAATTTACCAAAAATCAGAGAATAACTACCACCCCTGAAAGCATGTAAACAGTAAAGTAACATTTGAGAACAACGAAGGGTCATCGCATAGTCGATGTTAATTAATTTGTTCCTTTTAATATGATATGTCATATTTGCCCGGACACTCACCTCTTCAGTCCAGATGCACTCTCTTTTTAGGGTGACCTCAAAAAATACAAAGAGAAAAAAAGAAATAGAGTGGGTGTGAGAGTGAGAATTAGGGCATAAAAGTAAATACTCACTCCTTCCCAATTATATAGGCTGAGTTTTCTTTTTTTCCTGTCCAAAATATATAGGCTTAATGTAGAATATTTTGTTGTGTTTTTTTATAATATATCCTTATTAAAATTCGTCCATTTAATATGCCAACTTCTTGAAATCATCCAAATACACACATTTCTCACTCCTCGACAACATGGAACAACTTTTATTTCTTCTTCTAGTCGTGATTATTGAACTTCTTCTTTGTCTTCTTTATTAATTCCAAAAATAATTTAGTTTTACATACTGAAAATTAAATAGGGGTAAACTACGAATGATCTTGACAAAAATTAATTTTTCAATGACATTAAATAAGCTTTCTTAATCCGTGTGAAAAACAAAATAAGCCTATATAATTGTGACGGATGGAGTAAACAAATAAGCGAACTGATGTATTAAGACATACAAATCTGACGTAATTCTCTTTTGAGTCCAGGCGCAAAGACCTTAAAAAAAAAAATAGCAAGTGCGTGAGTATGGAGAGCATTAAGGCATACAATATTATGTAAACAGAGTAACCGACTAAGCAATAGATATATCTACGTGTTCAAGCCAATTATCAAGGTAAGAGCTTAGCACAAATGCTAGTCATGCAGTCCATAAAGAAACTCCTCGATATCTTGTCCGATCTAGATATCATATAAGGCATTAACTTTGGTCGATTAGGTTGTTAACAAGTAAATCTTTCAGGTCTAATAGGTCCCATGTGAGTTTACATATATACACTATTTCATAGACTGATATGAATTTCCACAAATGTGCACTTGGACATGACAAGGGTCAAGGCCATATAATAAAGAGGATCATGATTAAGGTGAATAAAGTGTAGTACAATTTGTACTTCTCATCTCTCTAAAACGTAGAAAGCTTAGGGTCTGTTCTTTTCGTGTTTTAGTTTTGTGTTTTTAGTTTTGAATTCATTTTGGATTTTGTGTTTTGAGTGTTCATTTTGAAATGTTGAAAAAGTGTTGTTTTTGCCATTTTTAATTGTTTTGAAAATCCCAAAATGCATTCTCACTCGTCTCTCTCTCGCTCTCTCTCTCTTCTTCCATCATCTCTGTAACCTATCGAAACCCTATCCTCCGGCCACCATTCTTCATTGTGGACTACCATCGGTCAACTGCCGCTCCGGGCCACTCAGAAATAGCCCTCAAATTAGTCTAAACAACAATTAATCGAAATGAGGGTCGCGATCCCGTTTCGCACAATCCGAAGAAATCTGTTATTTCGGCGGTGTCTGTTCAACCCATGATTGTGACCACATAGGTCACATTCCTCTCCCTCTGGTGTACCTAACCCAACCATGGGTCAAGCCCAATTTCAATCGCAACTGCTAATTTTATGGGTGAACTTAGGGTTGAAAATTGAAAATTTGTGGTGGGTGTGGCTGTGGTTGGTGATGATGATGGTGGTTGGTGTTGATGATGGTGGTAGCACCGTGTGGTGGCGATTTTTGTGGTGGTGGCTTGGTGGTTGTGGAAAGGTGGTGTTGGTTGGGGTGATGTTGTGGCTTTGGTGGAGGTTCTGATGATGGTGGTGGTTGGGGTGATGTTGGGGGGCAGCAGCAAAGGTTAGTGGTGTTTTGCAGGCAGCAATAGTGGTGGTTGGGGGGTGATAGTAACTGAAAACAATGAAAACACATTTTGAAAATTTTGGTCAAGTTATAACTGAAAATACCAAAAGAAACAAATTTGTCATTTTGAGTTTTCTTTGTAAATTTTAAACTTATTTTCAAAAAAACATTTTTGAAAATAAGAAAGAGAATACGTTCTCACTGTTTTGTACAATCGAAAACAGAAAACGACCTGAAAACGATAAAGAGAACAGACCCTTATTGTTTTACACCCTTATCTGAAGGTCAGATCGAGCCTCCTAAGCATGCAATATACTTCTATCTTTATTAATGACATGCTTACTTGAGTGCTTAAGTGAGCTCGATCCCGTCTTTAATAAAAAAAGGGTTAAACCAGAATCAACCATAGTACAACTTGGAAAATTAAATCCCTATCAATGAATCATGACCAATTATTGTATTTCCTGGTTTCTTACCCTTTATATGTATCATGACCACTGTTTAATATTATTATTACTGTTGTTATTGTTGTTGTTGACCTCGAAAAAAAGGGCTCCGACACCTGGCCAACATAAGAAGTTCTTCTAGTCAATTCATCTTTGCACACGTGGCACGCCGTCAGTCGCTAGTAGCCTTTCCCGGAGGGATTGGGAGCGGCCGCAAGCACTCCAACGGTCAAATCAGTTTGAAATCCAATCAAAAGAGGTTCGCAGCGGTAGAACACTCGCCGGGAAGTGATTGAACATGCAATAGTAAAGTGTCAAGAATATGGGGAAGAAGATGATACTCTAAGTGTTTGGTGGAGTAGTGTATTGAATCCCCAAGAAAATTCCCTCTCGTCTTCAGGCATAAGGAGAGGGCATTTATATCAAGGATGGGAAGGGGATGGCCGTTGGATGAAAAGACACGTGTTGCTAGATCTTCGGAGCTCGTCCCATCTTAGGTGTCAATCAATCCATCCATAGGTTGGCTGGCATTGAATGTTCTCTGATATAGCAGCTGAATTGACCGTTTGGGGACCTGCTACACGTCCCATCAGTCAGGGATTTAACTTTGGAAAGATCTTTGCACTAGAGATTTTTGACGATGAGGCGAGGTAGGTGGGGCGTTGCAACATTGTGGAAGCGGAGTGCGGGCCTTTGCATCCACCGCGTACTTGCGGATGAGTTCGGTTCATTCGCTGACGCATATTTAGTTCTTTCCAAAGGGCAATCACTTCGACGGGTACAGTCAGATCGTCCCATGCGTAATCTCCTCGGGCGATCCATGGATTGGCTACGTATGCTGACACGTGGCGGTCGAGTTGGAGAGTCTGACATAGACCTGTAACAATAGTCCCGCAAGCCCATGTATGGATATTTATATAGTACAAGGACTTTTAAGTGGGGATGCATTTGAATGAGCTGCGGGTAACTTCGAATTCTGCTCAGATCGAAGCGATGAGGGTTGGCAAGGCAGGGTTATGTGGCTGAAGCTATATAGGTTGGCTACTTTGTGGAGAGTTGTTGCAACGCTAAGACGTACTGCCGAAGCGATATGGGTTGGGAACTCTGTAGAGAGCTGTTGCAACGCTAGGATGTACTGTTGAAGCGATATAGGTTGGCAACTCTGTGCAGAGCTGTTGCAACGCTAGGATGTACTGCCGAAGCGATATAGGTTAGTAACTCTGTGGAGAGCTGTTGCAACGCTAAGACATACTGTCAAAGCGATATGGATTGGCAACTCTGTAGAGAGCTGTTGCAATGCTAGGATGTACTGTCGAAGTGATATAGCTTGGCAACTCTGTGAAAAGCTATTGCAATGCTAGGATGTACTGTCGAAGCGATATAGGTTGGCAACTCTGTGGAGAGCTGTTGCAACACTTAGATGTACTGTCGAAACGATATAGGTTGGCAACTCTGTGGAGAGCTGTTGCAACACTTAGATGTACTGTCGAAACGACATGGGTTGGCAACTCTGTAGAGAGCTGTTGCGACGCTAAGAAGATGCGATTGGAGGCTCTGCAGGGACATCCTTGGGCTCTGTGTCAATGATTTGAAAGCTTTCACGTCTTCCCTAGGCAATCATAAGAGAATGATCGCTTGCTTAGGCATGCCTCTGTTGCCATAAAGGGCAATGATGGCGATGGTTTTCGTTCCTCAAGGTAACGTGTTTGGGTCGCATATGGAGTTCATGACTTCATCAGGACCGTTGATTCAAATGACTCTTGGCTCCAACGAAGATCCTTGCATCTTAATATTGCATGGCCCAGATTTGATTTGTAAAATCCAACGACTGGAGCGAGTTTGGTACGCTTATAAAAAGCTCATTCCTTCATTTTGAGATGTTTACTTTTGCGAAAACCTCTCAAAGAATCCTTGCAATCTTTAGTTTTCCTCTTACGTTTTTCGGTGAACTCTATCAACAAATTTCGGCGTCTCCTACGACTACTTCGACTGTCGCTAGCGTTCTTTATTGAGGACTGAGCTAGGTAATCTTCACATTTTCAGTTTCTTCATCCATTCTTTAGATTCTACCAAAAATCTTTGCATAGTGAGTGAACAATCTGTGAGTGCTTCGGGGAGCGAGGAGATGAGGGGTGATGAACGTTCTAGGCTGATGGAGCCAGTATTGGTGTCGTTGGACGAACTGAGTACAGCCATTAGGGCCGGGGAGAACATTTGGAAACACCCAGCCTCTCCCGTAGATACCTCGGTCCAATGGGAGGCTTCAAATTATCCTTCCAGCATTACTAGGGAGGTAGTAGACAGATGTAGGGTTTTCTTAAGGATCCCTGAGAGTATAGAGCTGATAGTGCCCGAGCCCCATGAGAGAGTGTGTTATCCGAGGTTGGGGTATGTGGCTGTGAGCGAAAATATGCTTAAGGCCGGGCTTAGACTTCCTTTCTATCCCTTTTTTAGGTTAGTGCTTTGTTCTTATGGGTTGGCCCTGACCCAATTAAACCCGAATGCGTGGTCCCACATGGTGGGAACGTGGATGTTATGGCATCGGTCAGCCTTGGGGTGGACATGCCATTCAACCTGTTCTATTCCCTTTTTTTGCCGAAGTGCTTGGCAGGGGGAGAGGAAAGCAAGGGCTGGCACTATCTGGCGCCCTAGGGGTCACACTCCCCGTTTATGACCGGGTTGCCCGCTTCGGTAAAGGGTTGGATGAACTCCTGGTTTTGGGTAGCCGGG